GATATGTATATTTTTTTAATTTTTTTTTTCGCGGGCAGGGGGTCGAAAATGCATATTGCATCCTCAAAGCTGTCGTCACAACAATGGTATGTCCGGAGACTAAAACACTCCCCCCGAATTGGAACCGTCGCCCACCCTGGGACCACTAATCGCATTGCTTCAGGGTGGCGTTCCATATTTCTCATTAATTAAAGTTCCCTCGGTGCACCTGCGTCCAGGTCCCGCTTCTTGACTCTAAGTAAGTATTCTGCATATTTAGCTATGTTCTTCCAGTTAGTTTCGCTATGTAGCATGGCTTGGATGACGTTATCTGGATTAATTGGTCCTACAAAGTCTTGCAGATTATTGCGCTCGGTTTCCCATCTTTTGCATCTGAAAAAAGTGTGCTCGGCATCGTCTTCTTCTGCGTCGCTGTATATGCATGACGGCTCTTCGGCTTTTCCCATTCTATACAGGTATTTGCGAAAGTAACCATGCCCAGACAGCATTTGTGTGACGTAATAGTTTATTTCGCCATGTTCTATTTGGGTCCACAGTTTTAGGTCTTTTATTAGCCTAGCCGTCCATCTGCCGCGGCTTTCGTTTTGAAACCTATCTTGCCATAGTCTTAGTGTCTCGTCTCTTACTCTTTCCCTTTCGTTGGCACTTGGATTCGTTTGCGCCTTAAACTCCCACATTTTCTTGCGTTCGGCTGCTAGCAGGTCAATGGGAACCGTTCCGCTTATAACTAGTATTGCCTCGCCGGACACTGTACGGTACGCAGAGGCTACTCTTAAAGCTGCTGTGCGATGAGCTCTAGAAAGTGTCTTGCAACGGTTTTTTTCTGTAGGGTGTCAGCCCAGATCTCCGCTCCGTATAGCAAAATACTCAAGGTTGTGGACATTAGAAGTTTTCTTTTACTTTGGGTCGGCCCACCAATATTGGCCATTAATCTGCTTAGGTAAGCCGTTACCTTTGCTGTTTTAGCGGCTGCATGCTGCATTTGTGCCCAATACGTTAGCCTGGGGTCTAGCCTTACGCCTAAGTACTTTATTACTCTTTGCGTCTTTAATGTAATGCCGGTCAGTTTCATGCTCACTTCTAAGGGAATACGCTTCTTGGTTAGGAGTATTACCTCGGTTTTCTCTGCTGCAAGTTTAAGACCGTGTGAGTCGAGCCATGCTTGGTTGTTATCATAGTCTGGTTTTATTTGCGACGGGCGTCTTCGGTGTCTCTTGCGGTGATCACTGCGGCAATGTCATCAGCGTAGCCTACTAAATATGTGTCATCTGGAATCTCGAGGTTTAATATTCCGTCGTAGCTGACGTTCCATAGGTCTGGCCCAAGAATGGAGCCTTGTGCTGCGCCCGACGTGATCGTCATTTGCCGGGGTCCATCGGTGGTATGGTACAGTAACTCCCTGCCTTCTAGGTAGCTTCTGACCATGAGTCTAAGGTACGTGGGTATGTTGTAGACTTCTTCTAGTGCGTGTATCATATTTTCCCATTTTGCGGTGTTGAAGGCGTTGCGAACGTCTAAGGTTGCAAGCAGGACTAGCTTTTTGTGTTGGTATGCGGCTTCTACTGTTGTTGTTACGTGTTTTATAGCTCCAATTGTTGATCTACCGGGCCTGAATCCGTACTGTCTTGAGGAAAGTCCGCCACCGCTAGCGATAGCCGCTTCTATTCTAGGTTTTAGCAGCCTTTCTAAGAGTTTTCCAGCTGTGTCCAGCATACAGAGGGGTCGATACGCTGATGGTGAGTCAAGGTTTCCCTTTCCTTTGGTGATTAGGACGAGCTGCTGCCTTTTCCAAATTTCTGGGAATATTCCGTTCTTGAGGCAGGCATTGTACATATTTAGAAGCACTTGAGGGCGTTCTGTGGCGATTATTTTTAGAACTTCTGCTGGAATGCCGTCTGGACCTGGTGCTTTCTTGGCCTTTACTCTATTAGTGGCGGACTTGAGCTCTTCTGTGGTAAATGGTGGTATTTCTTGAGGAGCGATGATAGGCTCCATTTCTTTGGTTAATGCCTCATGCGTGGGAAAGAGTTCGCTTACTATGTAGTCCATTTTTTGAACGCTAAGCTCTGGTGGTTTTGCCATGGCCCCAAGTTTTTTCATTACCACCTTGTATCCAAGATCCCAGGGATTTCTGTTTATATCCTCACGCAGTTCTTTCCACTTTCTGTTCTTGCTGTCCTCGTTTTAGTTCTTTTCTAGCAGCTTGGTATAGTTGTGCCTCTTCGATTGCCGCGCTTCTACGCCTGGCCCTGGTGTAAGTACGCCTCAGGTGGAGGCACGTTCGTCTTAGTTGAGCTATGTTTTCCGTCCACCAATATGCAGGTGTTTTGTGTCGATTGCTTCCAATTGTCGGCATCGCTTTGGTACACGCTCTGGAGATCATTTTCATTGTAGTCTCTACTATTTCCATTGCGTTATTGTGAGAGGATTCTTCTGAGCCATGCGCATTTATTTCAGATAGTAGTGCTTCACTATTTAATTTCGAGACATTCCATTTGCGAGTGCTACATTGCATCTTCTTTCGTAAACCATCGTTTTTGGAGTCTATTATAAAAGAGATGTATTGGTGATCGCTACCAGTGTAATCTTCCAATACTTTCCATTCCTTTATGGTGCCTGCTATGCCTTCTGATGCTAGTGTGATGTCTGGCGTGGTTTCCTCGCATCCTGGTTTTCGGAAGGTTGTTGCTGCGCCAGTATTTAGCACTATAAATCCGAGTCGGGCTGACATTTCTAGCACGCGTTTGCCTCTGGAGTCCGTGATTGGCATCCCCCACTCCGTGGCTCTTGAGTTTAGGTCTCCTGCCATCAGAAAGGGTCCTTCCAAGTTCATGGCCGTATCTTCGATATCGTCGAGTTTATCTTGGAAGTCTTGTATGCTATCGTTTGGTGTCAGGTAGCAGCTTATTATTTTTATATGGTTGAGTTTTACAGGCGCCTTATCAGCGCCCTTCAGCGTCCCTTGAAATGCATCGGCTGATCGTCGCTCCCACGAACCTGTTTTTAACTATGTACATATTATCACGTCATCGATCGCCTGATTATCTTTACATACATACATTCATACATGCTTAGTGGCGAGCTATTATGCGGGAGTTGGTGGTATGTCTTCTTGTTATCATCAAGCGTAAGTACATAGTATCGTGAGCGGTTTGAGACTCGAAAACCCAGTGGTAAATTATATTGGCGCGTAGCCCTCACAACGCTTTGTCGATGGCGACATGATTTCTTTGAACGCGGCAGCGACATCATGAATTTGTATGAGTTTGATATAGAAGAAGAGGAAGAACCTTATCTGTCGCTAGAAAAATAGGAATAGAGTTAATCTGGCCACAACCACAGTCGTCGCGTAGCCCTGTCGTAGCCAAAATAATTATCTACATAAGAGTACGTGTTAAAATAATTTGACAGCTGTGGTCCGTAGCTCGTCGTTTTCATTGTGTTCAGGCTATTAATTTGCGCTTTTTACTTATTAAATTAAGAATGTTTGGGGTGTGCAGGCCAGGGCAGTAAGAACTGCGATGTTTAATAGAAGGATTTGGTGTTGCGATTTCTGCGACCTTAACTATTATATAAGTGAGATTTTCAGCTGCCCTGTCGATATCATTCTTGGTCCGAATAAGAATTTGCGGGTCAATGTGCGAACTGGCATACTTTTTGTATTTTAACCAGTTTGTGTGCTTATTTGTAAGATTTTTTGTTTTTCTTCATAATTAATAAATATTGATAATGTTATGAGGCAGGGAGAATGATCTGAAGAGAGATCAAATAATGCTGCTGTATTAACTTGGTGTCGCGCAATACCCTTTGTTACACCAAAGTCAATAAGATCGAGTATTTTTTGGGGGTCAGGTTAATACGTTGGCTGACCAATAGACAAGACGTCAAATCCTCGGTTCTGGATTACTTTATATAGATTTCTACCCTTTGGTGTAATCAATCTAGACCCTCAGAACGTATGTTTGGCACTGAAATCCCCTGCTATTTCCAATAAACTTACTACCAAACTTCAGGAAAAAATCATTAAATTGTTTTTCTGTTATAAATATTATGACGAGGGGGGTAATATATAGCGGATACAGTAAAGCTAAGCGTACACAGTAGAGAAATCTCGAGAGTTTCATTGAAATAAAAATCTCCTCTCTCAATTAAGTTTACACGGTAGAGCAACTCTAGGAGATATTCACTCTAGCTAGAGACAAAATAGAGAAATCGCAACTTTTATCTATCACGTGCTCTCGCCTAGAGTTAGTTTTCTATTTCGAATTGTTGTCAACGCTTGTTGTATGTATATATGTATTTATATCAAAGCCACGATGTAGAGAATATAGTTGGCGCCATCAGCGGAGCGCTAACCCTTCGTCGATTTTACTGCATTCACCTATTTTCAAATGTCATAAAATACATTTTCGCAATATGGACAAGAATTAAGTTTTCAAATTTTATTTATTTGCCGAAAAAATTGTACCTAAAAGTAGACAAATGTACCTAAAAATTAAACATGGCAACCTCTCTCTTCGGTACTATATGTACTTTTGGACTCGCATCAAACAGCCTTTAATATTTAAAATTCTCTTGAAAGGAGTTTCTCCGAGCAGTTCCAGCCAAACTGCCAAGTTGAGCAAGTGGCCTGGCACTCTGACAAAACAGCAGATAGCTCAAGCAACGACTGTTGCCAGAGTGCCAGACCACCTGCTCAATTTGTGAATACCCTTATGTTTTAACCAATAATTATGCCTCTTTACAAAGGACGGAGGCTATTGGAAAAGCCATTGAAATACCAATGAAAATAAGAGGATGATTCCCGGTATATTATTTGGCTAAGTTCTAAATGCACTTAAAATGGTGTGCTTGTATCGAATATACGATTTAATGTCGTAGCCCTTTCAAAATTTAACAATCTGTAATTAAGTTCATTGTNTATGAAGTTCATTGTCAAGACTTTTCTATACGTCTCCTTAGAGCAAAAAGTCTATTTAGCTTGCTAAATAGAGCGTAGAGTTGTCGTAGAGTTTTCGATCTAGCTTCGTTGGACTGTGTACAAGGTGAAAAAGTCTCGCTAAATAACTCTCACATAGACTTTGTTGTTGAGTCTCTCGTAGAGCTCTATTGAGTGTTTACACATCTCTAGCGAGATTTTTGTCTAAATCTCGCGTTTTTTCTCTACCGTGTACACTTAGCTTAAGGCCACCGAAGTGGTCATCAATGTGTATTGCAGTAGTATGAATGAACTCATCAATTTTCGACTCTAATTCATAGTGCTTTATTCTGTTAAGAATGAGAATGGCTGTTCCAAATCGGGCTTTCCCTTGTGGATGCTTAGTATCATATAATTTGTATCCATTAATTTGAAAGTTATTAAATTGCGTAATGTGGGTTTCAGATACTAGCAAAACGTCTATATGAAAGCGCTCTAGGAAAATTTGTAGTTCGTTTTTATGCTGGGTTAGCCCGTTCGCATTCCAAAAACAAATTTTGAGATTATTCATGGGTTTTCTTGCAGGAATAGATTTTGATTTTTAATCAAATCTTGCACCATGCTCGGCATCGCCCTCATTAGTTCTTGCACAACTTTCATACAGTTTTTTATAGTAGCTTCTAGGTTACTACTATTCTGACCAAAAAGAGGTTTTGTCGGAGGAGTATTTTTGAGCATTTGTGCATAAGAAGTAAAATTATTAACAGTCATTAGCGCAGGCATTGGCTTAGCGATTTCTGGTAATAACCCCATACCTAATAGGAATATATTTGGGAATTGTTTTCTCTTTCATTGAGATATAAACTGGACACCCTCTATAATTAGCAGTGTGATTTCCACCGCAGTTACTGGACTTTTTGGATTTCGGGTCTATTTTTAGTTTCACACATTCTTTAGAAGTGTGTAAATCCCCACAGATAACACAGATACCAGGTACGGTGCAGTAGCGACGCGTGTGACCAAATCCTGACAGTTATGACATTGCACAGGGCGCTTATGCGGTTCTTCTACGGAGATTTTACGGAGCAGAAGATATCGCAATTGATATATTTGATGCACTTCCTCTTTCTTCAGGTTACGAAAGTCAGGTTCTAGCTCTATTTGAACATCGGTTGAGGGATTTTTTCTATATTTTTGATGTTGAAAACATTGTGCATCTTAAAACCTTCTTCCCTAAGAGCATTTTCATCTCGTGTGAGTTCACGCTGGAAAAATAGAAAAAGGAAAAATATCTTATTTTTGAGCCTGAACTTTCACTTCGTGTATATTACCAATTTCAATAGGAACTACATGAAAAATATTTTCCCTACTAGTCTTAGGAGAGTATCTACCAGAGCATTAGGGCTTTGTCCTAGTGGATAAATAGGTGGAGGCTTGTATTTTTTAACTACCTGTTGGTTAGAATCATTGTTCATATCAGCGAGAATACTAAAACGATTATTTCATTTATTAAACAAATTCATTAGTACAATAAGATCTTAAAGCTCTTTTATAGTACAACAGTAATTATAAAGCACAAACATAAAGCAACAAAAGGAAAACAATAAGTAAGAAAAAAAAATAAAATAAAAGAAAAAGAAAAATGTAACTAGTTCTAAGACTAAAAACTAACATATTTAATTACTTAAGTAAAAACACAACGACACAAACGTAAACATGTGTAGATAAATACATCACATATGAAACACCTAGCAGATAGCGAAACTCAGAGTACAAAAACTTATTGACGAAAGTACGAAAACAACACATTCCTAAAGTTGCCCTTGTTTAAGCTGGAGCGAGTAGCAGGTGGAATAGAATTCCACAAACGCGTGGCGTTGACAAAAAATAGTCTTGCAGAGTTAAGATAATTAAAGCTAGGTACAATTAAGTCGCTTATACGGGCAGATTTTGGAAAGGTTGGCTTATTATACAGATAGCTAGGTAGCTTATCCGACATTAAACGGAAAAGAAAAATACAATTCCTTGCTTTCAAGTACTCAGATATCTCACAAACCCCAATAGGCGAGATCTCCAACTAGAAATGTGATCAAATTTAGCCAAACCAAATACATATTGTGTTACGTGATTGAAAACTACTTCAATTTTGTGGGCAGATTGAGAACTAAGCTTGCTGTAAATACATTCAGGATAACATATTATTGGCAAAATCAGTTGTATTGCGAGTTTTCTCCTGATGTCGACCGGCGTAAAGGATGCAGACATTCTTAAAGTACGAAGAGTGATGAATACTTTGCTAATTACGAAATTCACGTGATCGTCACAGGAAAGACTAGAGTTGATTACAAAACCAAGGTTCGTCACTTTAGACACAAATTTAAGACACTTATTATTTATATATAGGTTAGGTACCTATGGCAGAAAAGGCAACGCGACGTTTAGAAATGGGTAATACATAGAATTTATCACTATTAAGACAAAGCTCATTTTTTAAAGCCCAAGATGATATAGAGGACAGATCACAGTTAAATCTAGAGCACAAGGAGACTGATTGGTCATGAGGTCCTGACAAGTAGAGCTGAATATCGTCTGCATATGCATGCATTTGCACAGACTTGCACGTGCTAAAAATGTCATTTAAGAATAAACTGAATAATAGCGGTCCCAGTATTGAGCCTTGGGGAACACCAGTACACAGAGGTTTAAGTCTAGAAAATGTGGTACCGACCCTTACACGCTGAGTCCTACCTTCAAGGTAGCTGCTCAACAATCGTACAGCAGACTCCCCAAAGCCAAAATTATTACTTAATTTG